GTGGTCCTTTGACTGAATCCAAACTTCCCAGAACAAATCTCCTTAATAAAAGATCAAAAGGCCACACCCAAGGACCTAGAAGGCCACATGTGTTTTTGAGGTCACAGGTTCCCCACCACTGAACCACAGCCCCTCACACTGTGTTCATGATAACTAAGCTTTAGAAAAGCTTTTCACATGAAACAAAAACATTTTCCAGAGCTGTGTTTACTTTGGATGTTGGTAAAGAGGCATAAAAGGCTTTTTGATTGATGCTAGTTAAATATTTGTTCCAGGATTGATATCTGCATTTAGAGTGAAATAAATTAATGAGTATTATTTATGTTTAACCATGAAGCAAAGGGGAAGAGGGATGGTATGCAGAATAAGAAAGTAGATAAACCAGTCTGGTAATAAGTAAAACAAAACAAAACAAAACAAAACAGAAGAGCTTTTCTTCCCTATCAGTTTCCCTTCCATTTTACTAGCTGCATTTCCATCTTGGTCAGACTTTTAAGTGTGTGTGTGTGTGTGTGTGTGTGTGTGTGTGTGTGTGTGTGTGTGTGTGTTTAAATGACTACCCTGCAGCATTAAAGGATTTTACAACTTGAAGAGGTGGGAAAAAGGAGAAGGATGCATTGCAATTAAACTTCTCTATATAAGCACAGATTGCCCTCCAGTGGAAAAGATAATGGCCTTTGTAAATGCTCTATCACAGATTCCACTTAGCAGCTAATATTCCTCTGTTAATGGTCAATCTACCTTCTTCCATCCAAAAGAACTAAAGCAACTGACTGTATCTAAGATTGGAGAGTAAAATAAAAGGAGTCCAATAGCACTATTATCAGTGAACATTAGTGTCAGTGATGAAATATCAAATTCAGCTTGTGCTGCTTTTGTGAGCGTTAACATTGGGACGCCCTCACCCCCTCCTTTAAAGGCATAATACTGAGCATCATGGCCAATCCATTAACTGGAATCATAGACTTCCTTGATAAAGTTAGCAAACTGGATAAGCCTCCCAAAGTGGCTGCTCCCAAGCATATAATTTCAGGCATCATGATAATGCAGCTGCATCATAAATGTTGCTTGGTAATGAGAACTCGTTGGAACCAGTCTAACAATTTGCAAATTGAACAGCCTTGTACTAAAATGAATTGGTTTTTTTTACAGGAAAAAATAGCAGTAGTGAAATAAATTCATTTTGATCACAAGCTTGCCTTTGGAGCAAATGATCATCAAACAACAGTGGGTTCAATTCCCCCATTTCACAGAAGAGGGATCTGAAATTGTAGGTCGTTCAGTGATTCCCTTAGGGTCATATAAGCTGGTAAATGGCAGAATCCAAGTTTATCAGTTATCCGTCCAGGCTCAGCCTGGCATTTAAGGTCTCCATAATCTGACATAGTTCTGCCCTTCCTTCCAGCTGTAGGTCTTATACCCAGAGAGCTGGAGGTAGTGAAGCATATGCATCAGGTGCAGCTTAGGGAATGGATGTTTGAGCTGGAAGGAACCTTGGAAGTCTTCCATTGCAACCCCTATCATTTTGCATATGAGGAAACTAAGACCCAGAGAGATTGATTTTGACCAAGAAATTTCTGAAGTCTTGTAGTCAAGTCAACAAGTATTTATGAAGCATTTCCTATGTGTCAGGCAATGTAGTAAGTGTTAGATAGAATAATTGTGTTGTTTTTCAGTTGTTTTTCAGTCATGTCTGACTCTTGGTGACCCCGTCTGGGGTTTTCTTGGCAAAGATACTAGAGGGGTTTGCCAATCCCATCTCTAGGTAATTTTACAAATGAAGAACTGAGGTAAACATGTTTACGTGACTTGCCCAGGGTCATACAGCTAATAAGTTTCTGAGGCCAGATTTGAACTCAGAAAGAGGAGTCTTTCTGATTCCAGGCCTGGTGCTCTATCCACTGTACCATCTAACTGCCCTGTCCATCTACATTAGAGGAGGAAGGTTTTTTTTAATAGCATTTTATTTTTTTCCCAATTACATGTAAAGAGAATTTTAAAAAGTCATTAAAAATTTTTTTGAGTTCTAAATTTTCTCCTTCTGTACCTCCCCCCCCCCAAGATGGTAAGTAATTTGATATAGGTTATACATGTGCAATCATGTAAACATATTCCCATATTAGGCATGTTGTGACAGAAGAAACAGACCAGAAGAAAAAAAACACAAAAAAAAAAATAAAGAAAATGAAAAATAGTATGCTTCAATCTTCATTCAAACTCTATCAGTTCTTTCTGTGGATGTGAATAGCATTTTTCATCATGAGTCCTTTGAAATTGTCTTGGATCATTGTATTTCTGAGAATAGTTAAGTCATTCACAGTTGCTAATTATACAATATTGCTGTTACTGTGTACAATGTTTTCCTGTTCTGCTCTCTTCACTTTGCATCAGTTCATGTAAGTCTTTCCAGGTTTTTCTGAAATCTGTCTGCTCATCATTTCTTATAATCCTATTCTTTTACATCTATAGACTACAATTTGTTCAACCATTCCCAAATTGATAGGCAACCCCTCAATTTCTAATCCTTTGTCACCCCAAAAAAAGCTGTCATAAATGTTTTTGTACAAATAAGTCCTTTTCCCATTCACCCGTTCATTCATCTCTTTGGGATACAAACCTAGTAATGGTATTGCTGGATCAAAGGGTATGCACAGTTTTATAGCCCTTTGGGCATAGTTCCGAATTGCTCTCCAGAATGGTAAGGTCAGTTCACAACCCCACCAATAAGCGCATTAATGTCTCAATTTTCCCACATCCCTCCCAAGGTTTATTTTCCTTTTCTATCATATTAACCACTCTAATAGGTGTGAGGAGGTACCTCAGAGTTGTTTCAATTTGCATTTTTCTAATCAATAGTGATTTAGGACATTTTTTCATACTATAGATAACTTTGATTTCTTCATCTGAAAACTGCCTGTTCATATCCTTTGACAATTTATCAATTGAGGAATGACTTGTATTCTTATAAATTCAACTCAGTTTTCTCTATATTTGAGAAATGGGGCCTTTATCAGAGACATTTGCTGTAAAAATTGTTTCCCAGCTTTCTGCTTTCCTTCTAATCTTGATTGCATTGGTTTTGTTTGTACAAGAGCTTTTTAATTTAATATAATCAAAATTATCCATTTTACATGTCACAATGCTTTCTATCTTTCGTTTGGTCATAAATTCTGAGGAAATTTGTGTGTGTGTGTGTGTGTGTGTGTGTGTTTAATCATAGCTACCTACACTAAGTAAATCACAAATGTGGAACAACAACAACACTGTTGGATGGGAAAGCCTTAACAATTGGGGGGAGGAGAAGAATTAGGTCCAATATAATAGTTTTCCTCATTGCTTCTACCACTTTTTTGGGAAAAAAACAAAACTAAGATTGAGAATTGAAGTCAATCTTGGTAACCTACCATGTGTAGAATCTATCCTTTTCCCTTTCTGAAAAGTTAGAATATAGAGACATCATAGAATAATGAAAAGGGTGCTGGCTTTGGAGTTAGGAAGACCTACATTCAAATCCCACAGCTGATATTTACTAGCTATGTGAATCTGGGCAACTCATTTAAGCTTTTAGTTCCAGAATAATAGTAGGCAACTCATTAAGTCTCAGTTTCTTCATCTGTAAAATGAAGCCATATGGTCTTATAAGCTTCTTCCCACTCCAAATCTACGATCCTTTGATTCTGTCTTTTCTCCTGAGGCACCTATCCTGTTTTCTAAATTTTTTTTGGATGGGTGACATTGGCTCATTAATCACATCCACAAATTCATTGAGTAGGCTGTGATATTGTTAATCTGGACCTGATGACTTGGGGCAGCTAGACGTTCTATTACCATTTCCTCACTTATCTTGGCTTTCAACTCTGTTTTAACTCTCGTTCTCTCCTTCCCAATCTGAAGATTGCTCTCCTTAGTAGAGAAAGCTAGCAAAATGAGAGTTGAGTAGAATTTTCCTCCTCCTCCTCCTCTCTCTTGTTCATTATCATCTGTTCATTATCTATCTGTCCCAGGCAGTCATCATATTCCCTTCCTTGGTTTTCCCCTTGCCTCCCCAGTAGTAAAAATGCACTCCTCTATCTATCCATCTATCTACACAAACATATGTGTGTACATACATATATTCACATACCCCTACATACATATTTACATAACCCTACACACATATAGCACATATGTTATAGAAAGTAATGCATATGTTTGATAATATAGACATGTTATTCATGTTGATTACTATACATGTATACATAGATTTCACATTAATATATAATATTAATATTGGCCCTAGGTGGATGGTGTACTCAGGGAGGACTGGCACCTCTGCTGAGGCTGCTCATCCACCTTTGGGTCCACCTGTCACCCAGCTCTCATCTGTAGCTCCAAGAAGCTGTAGCATGGGCAGTAGCCACAGCCAAGTAAAACCATCTTGGAAGACAGGCTAACCTGTCTTACCATAGAGTAACTATGGTAAGAAAACTTCCTCAGAACTTATGACCAAACAAGATAGAGAGCATTGTGAGATGTAAAATGGATAATTTTGATTATATTAATTAAAAAATGGTTTGCACAAACAAAACCAATGCAACCAGGATTAGAAGTAAAGCAGAAAGCTGGGAAACAATTTTTACAGCAAATGAGGGTAACCAATAGTTTTGAGGCCCTCGGTGAGTTAGGGGGATACCCCAAGCATCAGTGAAGTGAAGACTTCTCCTGGTGGAATGGGCAGATGAGAACAATTTGAGCCAATGACCATAAAGGGGTTCTCCATAGCACCTGCTGTGGAGCACTTAGAGCTTGGGAAGGCATTGGAGACACCAAGGTCATCCACTGCATCCCGGACCATCACCAGTCATCCTGACTTTTGACTTGCCACTGGACTTCTATGACTCTGGAAGAGAGAGTGAGGCTGACAACTTTGTGCAACTCTGCCTCACTTAAATCCAATTCATGCACAAGGGTGATGTCATTGATCCTCTTTGAAAATGAAGGAAAATGAAGGATAAGCATACCTCAGAGATATTGCAGGTTCAGTTCCAGACCACTGCAATAAAGCAAATATCATAATAAAGTGAGTCCACATGAATTTTTCGGTTTCCCAGCACATAAAAAGTTATGCTTACACTAAAGTCTATTAAATGTGTGATAGTATTATGTCTAAAAAAAATCAGCATACATACCTTAATTAAAAAATACTTTAGTACTTCGTTATAGTTGTTCAGTTGTTTCAGACTCTTCATGAGCCCTCAATTTAGGGTTTTGTTGGCAAAGATACTGGAGTGGTTTGCCATTTCCTTCTCCAGTTCATTTTACAGATGAGGAAAAAGACAAATAGGATTAAGTGACTTGCCCAGGGTCACATAGTTAGTAAGTGTCTGGGGCCAGATTTAAACTCAGGGCTTCTGGACTCCAGGCCTGAGGCTTTATCCAGGAACCACCTAGCTTCCTTTGGAAAGAGAGCAGTAACTCTATAAAGCTGTTAATTCTTCATTTGAGAATATAACCGAAGGCCATTCTCCTAGCATTTGGCAGATAATTTAAGAGGCATAATTACTTGGGAAGATTTGAGCCCATTTCAATTAGCCAGTAACTTGTGTTAATTATTCCTTTTCTTCTTTTGCTTTGAACCCTAAAACCAGCTGAGAAAGTTTCTTCCTCTTTTCCTCAAAATAATTTCATAGTTTCATAAATAATTTCAAAACTAAATAACATCTGCACACAAATGGTCCCAGAGCACCAGGCATCACAGGAAAACTGACCCTTTAGACCACTCTTGTTAGCTAACTTTAAGTAAATTAAAGAACAAATCACTTTCATACTCCCAATCCCTTCAACTTTCTATTCTGCTCAGAGATACCAAAGTGTATATTTGGAAGTGGATGTAGCCAATAGTGCTTTATTCCCTACTTAGAATCTCTAATAAAGAGAGCACCACTCTCTACCGCAAGTAAAGATGGGACTTTTCAGAAACAAAAAGGTATATATATTAAGCCATTTTAGGAGTTGCTACATTGCCATCCCAATTTGGATTAGGAGGATCACAACATGCTGCTCCTTTATTCTTACGTCCCAAGGCTGTTTGGCTGTAATGAGTACCCTTTTTTAAATCTTAAAGTCCTGTGCATAGATAGACTACAGATGCTGATGAACCCCATAGTCATTCATTTGGAGAAGCCTTTGCCACAAAATGTAGGAATTCATACAGAGGAACCTAAACTGCAGTGAATGGCCCTAATTTAGTCACAAAACTGTGCTGATTGGATCCCCTACAAATCTACATCAATCTCAAATGGGTTCCAATTGGATCAAGGTAATCCTTTTACTCCTTCCTCACTGATTCTGTTTCAAATTTTCTCTTCTCAACTCCAACTTTCATATCTCCTTCTCCAGCCTCTAACCTGAGAACTTCAGCTTACTCTTTCTTAAGGACTTGGAGACCATTTTACCATGAGCTCCCTCTTCTCCCTTTCTTTTCCTCAGGAAATCCCTTTACATTAACCCCTATTTTCTCCTTTAATCTAGTATCTGATAATGAAATGACTCTTGCCTTTATATGTAACTTTGATCCTATTTCCTCACATCTATTACATCACAGACTCCCTCCCCCAATCTTCAACCTCTTCCTTTTTTGTTGGTTTCTTTCATGCCTACAAATACACCCAGCTTTTCTCATCCTGAAACAAAATAAAATAAAAATGCTTTGTTACTATCATCTCAAAGCTCTCATCTTATATCCTATACCTTTCCTCCTTTTCCCAGAGTCTTAGAAAAAAAAAAGATTATTTATACATTCTGCCTCCACTTCTCTTACTTGCTTGTTTAGCTTTGTTATCTGGCTGCCATTCTCATCACTCAATTAAAATTGCCCTCTCTATATTTATCAGTAATCTCTTAATTGCCAAATCTGTTCCGTTTTTCTCAATTCTTACAGGGGTCAAACAGCTAGTAAGTGTCAAGTGTCTGAAACGGATTTGAACTCAGGTCCTCCTGACTCCAGGGCCAGCGCTCTATCCATTGCGCCACCTAGCTGCCCCAATTCTTATACTTTTTTACCTCTCTGCTGTATTTGATACTGTTAACCATCCTCTTTCTTCTTGTATACTTTCTTCTCTGGGTTTTTCTGACACTATTTTCTTTAGGAGTTCCTCCAACCTAACTACTACTTAGTCTCCTTTATTGGTTCTTTCTTCCTATCTCACTCTTTAATTATAGGCATACTCAGTTCATTTGTGGGCCCTCTTCTCTCTCTCTACATTTTCTCAACTGGTGACCTCATTACCTCCCATAGAATCAGTTACCATCTCCATGCAGATGATTACCATATTCATGTATTCAATCCTGATCTCTCTCCTTAGCTCCAATTTTTTATTACCAACCTGATGACTGAACACTTCAGACAAGATGTCATATTGATATCCCAAACTCATTATCTTTGTTCCAAACCCATCCTTCTTCCAAAATTCCCTTTGTCTGTCCAGTATTGCAGGCTCAAAACCTTGGCATTATCCTGATCTCCTTACTCTCCTTCTTACCCTAAGTTAATTGACGATTCATTCAATTGCCAGATCTTTCCTTTTTTATCCAACAACTTCATCAGTCTTCTCATTACTTGTACAGACATCATATTACTTCAGGCCCTTATTCCTCTCTCCTGGACTATTGCAATGACCTCCTGATTAGTATCTCTACCTAAAGTCTCTGTCTACTCTAACCCATCACCAATACAACTGCCAGTGAAATTTCCTTTAGCCCAGGTCAGACCACGTCCCCCTCTTTGTTAATAAATTTCAATCATTCCCTAGGATCACATAAAAAACTTTGGCTTGTAAAACCTTTCATATCCTGACCCCAACTGTCTTTCCAGCCTCACTACACCTTGCATCCCTTCCCATGCTCTGCAGTTAGTCACACCATCTTTCTTTACAATTCTTTTTATTTTTTATTTTTTTGGTGAGGCAATGGGGTTAAGTGACTTGCCCATGGTCACACAGCTAATAGAGGCTGCATTTGAACTCAGGTCCTCCTGAATCCAGGACTGGTGCTCTATCCACTGTGCCACCTAGCTGCCTCTTTCTTTGTGATTCTTCATCTTCTTGCCTTCACCCTAGTTGTTTCTTATGCCTGGAATGCTCTCACCCCTCACCTCTGCCTCATGGACTCCTTTACTGCCCTATAGACTTGTATCAAGTCCTACTTTCTACATAAAATATTTCCTGATTCCCTGACTGCTAGTGTTCTTCTTCCCTAACTTGTATTTGTTTTGTAAATACTTTTATATGTACAAGTTGTTTCCCATGATAGAATGTAAGCTCCTTGAGGGCAGGGATTCTTTCTTTCTTTCTTTCTTTCTTTCTTTCTTTCTTTCTTTCTTTCTTTCTTTCTTTCTTTCTTTCTTTCTTTCTTTCTTTCTTTCTTTCTTTCTCTCTTTTTTTATATCCCTAGCACTTAGTTTAGTACCTGGCACAGAGTAGACATTTAATTAGCACTTATATTGAACACCCATGAGTGAATATATACTGTAGCTGTGGTCTATGAATTACCTTCAATGAAGTCAAGTAATTTCCTTCAAATTTTTGTCTTGACAAACTAATTACTGTACTTTAAGGCAGAAGGCACATGAAAAACCTTCCTAAAATTCTGAGTTGCTAGAGGAGGAGCTCATGGGGTTCTTGTATTTCACTTCACTCTGGTGAAGGGCAAAGAAAACAGAACTGCTGGTCCCAGACAGTAGTTAAATTTTATGGAAATAAGCAGTTTGTACAAACCCAGGGCATTTCATCAGCCATTCTGATTTGTGACCTCAAACTCACAGAACCACTGATTAGGACCGGAAATGACTACTGCAGTTTGCTGCTGGATGAGGACTTGATGGAGACGGTAATCTGATACCAATGTTTGTTCTTTGTCATCAGGGTCCTCTCATACTATAAAGAGCCCTTACTTTCTCCTGCTGGAGTCTCTCAACAGCCCTCTGTGATGTAGACAGGATTTTCTATAAGTTTTGTGTTTCTCATTTTACTAATGGGGAAACTGATTCCCTAATTTGTATTGGCTTTCCATGAACTATTAAGGAATATGTGTTCCCATTCTGTTCAACAAATATTTAAGTTCCAACTACGTGCAAGGTGTCTCTTTCACATTTTACATTTGATAAAATAACAAACTTTGATTGAAGGAGTTAGGGTAGATAAACAAAACAGATTAATGCTTGCCAGCATTTCTCTTCTCCCTTGAAATCTATCCAGCCAAAAAATAAAATGAAATAAAATGATTACAAAAGCATCTACTTAATGGTTAAAAGTAAAAAAAAAATTATAATAGATTTCTTACTATAAATTTTTAGTTCTACCTTATTACCAGCACAACACAATGATAGTAGGAATCAGAACATGGGTGTTCTTACCCATGAGCTCTTCCCTCCTCCAGAGCTCTGGCCCTGGCATTAACAAGTTGTGTCGTCTTGGGTAAGTCACTTCTACCCCACTTTGGGTCTCAGTTTCCTCAATTGCTTGGGCAGCAAGATGGCACAGTGGAGAAAGAGGAAGACCTGGAGTCAGGAAGACTAATCTTCATGAGTTCAAATCTAGCCTCAGACAAATCACTTAACCCAATTTGCTTCAGTTTCCTCATCTGTAAAATTAACTGGAGAAGGAAATTGCAAACCACTCCAGTATCTTTGTCAAGAAAATCCCAAATAAGAAGAGTTAGACATGCCTGAAAAATGACTGAACAAAAAAGCAAAAGGTGGGAAGAGATAGGTCCATAGACGATGTGGACCATAAATAATCTTTGTGAAGAAATTCCATTGTATTTCCTTGTCTTCAGGGCATTTTTTGGCATAACAGATAACGAAGAAAGACTACATTTCTATTTCACCCAGTCAGTTAATAAATATTAATTAAGGACAAGGCCCTGTGTTAAGTACTATTAGAATCAAATGAGACAATGAATGTAAAATATTTTGTAAACTGCAAATTGACACATATATCTATATTTATTATGGGAAAATATGATATATTGATAACAGATAGTTATATCAAATAAAA